CTCCACAAAAGTGCTGTGCAGTAATAATAGTAAACAGCAATGCTGCACATCATTGCAGTGCAGATTAGAGTGCCCTTACTGAACAGGGAGGAAGATGAAGAGGTGATGGAGGAGAAGGAAGACGTAGGTGGCATGGGACCACATGATGGCCAACCAAGAAATGCCCAATACATGGCAGGTTTTCGTGCACATCAGCAAGACATTGACAGATTTTTTTTTAGTTTATCCCTATTTTTCCCAGTCTTTGAAGCATAAAAAAGAGTAATAAAGCATACAATAAAGTACAATTAAAACCTTATATTATAATCTCTTTGCACTTGAATAAAGTTAAAGGTGTAATCTGCCGATTGTCCTGCTGGTGACCTCATAACTCTGTCATTTTACGATGCACTTAAGGCTTTACGATTACTCCAGAGCACTCATAGATCTACAATGATTTTCAAGTGCTACTTAAGTTACTGTTACATATCTGGTCCATGAACTTCCGTCTGCTAGCCATCAGAGGTCACCCTTTCCATTTTCATTGACTCTCGCACTACACACTGTCGCATATCACTCCGGACTACATATCCCATCATTCATTGCACTGATTGCACACAGCACTGATTGCACACAGCTGTTTCATATCACTCACTCACTATTTAACACTCCATCTCACTCCTTCTTACTGCCGAGTATTGTTTAGCGCTTATCGTTTTGATAGCTACACTACGGAGCCTGTTCAGTTTACCCTGCCTTAGCCTAGTCTTGCCTTGTCTGTTTTCTCGGTTTCTGATCTTTGCCTGTTTTCCTGGATTTATCCCTCTAGTCTCGCCCTTGTGATTCTGTTCGCCAATCGTTGACCTACGCTGGACTATTCTTGTGTCTTGCCCGCCATATACCTGTTTGCCACTGTTCGACCCTGCCTGTGTTTCTGACCTCCTCTGCTTTTAATAAAGCTTGCACATGAATCTGCACGTCTCACGTCTTGTCAGCCCCGTAACAGTTACGATGCTTTTGGGAAACAGACCGTAATATTAAGATCAGTCGTACGATCGTGTTTTAAATAGAGCCAACTACATTTGGCTTACAATGCTTTTGGGAAATGCAGCCCAGTTCAGTTCATAGAGTCGATTTAATGGCTGCTCTAAATTAATGTGCTGCTTACACTGAAGTGTGTGAGCACACACACACACACACAGCTCCTAACATTCAGTAGCACAGAAACAACAGTTGCGGAGGGAGGTAAACTAAACAGAGGAACTCTTGCCCGTTATAATTTCATTCACCCTGCTCAACCCTAAGGAATACTTGAGCAGCCTACGGAAGGGAGCATGCAAGGTGCTAAAAACCTCAGTAACTAGCTCCTCAGACTACAACCCTAAGTATTGCCATCCATTCAAGGGAGAGCATACATCCTTACCCTTATGCTGGGAACACACCGCACGATTTTCGCCTAGATTTTTACTCGTTTAAAGTTTTCCAAGTAACTTTCATCACCCGGGTTCTAAACCCGAAGGAAGCCACAGGGGAGCTCAGACCCTATTTAAAACCCCAATGTAACCATTCAAAGGGGAGCATACATCTCTTCTTCAAGACTCAACAACAGTTAGGAAGGGAGGTAAACAAAACTCTTGTGAGTCACCCTGTTATACCCAAAATTGTATTTAAGCAGCCTAGCAAAGGGAGCATGCAGGGTGCTAAAAAGCTCAGTAGTTAGCCCTCCACAACACAACCTCCAGAGTTGCCACTCCTCCAAGGGGGATGTAAACAAAGTAAAGGGAAAATATACAGGATGGAATGAAAGGTAGAGTTGAGTGTCATCAGCATAGCAATGAAATGAAAAGCCACGTTTCTGAATGACAGAACCTAGCGATACCATGTAGATAGAGAAGATAATTGGTCCAAGAACTGAGCCCTGAGGCACCCCAGTAGCTAGATGTTGTGACTTGAAGGACCTATCTGAGAGGTAAAACTTGAACCACTGTAGGTCGGTATCTGAGATGCCGGGGGGATCTGGTGGTTAACTGTTTCAAAAGCAGCGGACAGATCCAGCAAGACAAGTATTGAAGATTTGGATGCCGCTCTTGCCAGTCTTAGGGCTTCAACAACTGAGAGCAAGACAGTCTCAGTAGAATGTCCACTTCTGAAGCCAGACTGGTTGCTGTCCAAGAGGTTGTTCTGTGTGAGAAATGCAAAAACTTGGTTGGACACAACTTTATTCACATGTTTTTGCACTAAACAGAAGAAGAGATACTGGTCTGTAGTTTTCTAAATGTGCTGGCTTAAAAGTGGGGATAGTAGTGGGGTTATCCAAGCCTGTTTAAATGCTGAGGGCGAGTGATTTGAGGTGTGTAGTGGAGTAACTAGCACATGATCAGTTGAGCTGCGGCATGTGTAAATAAGGTTCAATTGCAATAAAATGTGAGCAGAACAACAGCCAACAGTTCATAATAATTCAAGTAGTTGTACAGAGTAGTTTTGAAAAGTTCTCCTTAAACAGATCTACAAATATCTTAGTGACATTGATTCCTAAGTATTTTAAATTTAAAAGATAAGGTTTCAGAAGATTACTTTTCAGCTAGGTCATTAACGGGACAGTATACTTTTCCCTATATTGATCTTATATCCTGATATTTGTCTAAATTATTTTAAAGCAGATATTATCATAGGAACTGTCTTAGATGGATTAAAAATGTATAATAATAAATCATGCTGAGGAAGCCTAGGTTTATAAAGCGATTGCCAGAGGTTCAGTTGTTAACGCAAAGTGCATTGGAGATACAGTAGCAGGCAGCCCTACAGTTATGACGTGTTAACTTAAAGTAATCAGTCCTACATTTATTTGTCTGAGGCCACTGGAGATGCATAAAAGACCTTTATCTATGAAATAAATGTGGAGAAGAGATAATCCCGCCAAACCCTGTTGATGGCCTTTTCAGCACCTAATGACAGTATTTCAGATTGAGACCTTGATTTAGAGCAATTTATTATATAGAATCATCTGCAATCATTGTGAACCATTTGTCTATTTTTAATTAAACCAGTCTGATCTTCAGGAATTATTGTTGGGAGCAAGTTTTTTTATCTCATTTTATTTTAGCTGAAACTTTTGTGTCTGTTTCCTTTTTGTAATGCAGTAAATACATTAATTACTTGGTAAAATGTAGCTGGGTGAAGACCCATCTCTAATGATTAATCTATAAGATATTTTATGTTTTCTCAAAATCACAACTTATAACATGCAATTTATCTGATATTACCTGGTAATTACATTAATTCTGTGATAAACATGTAATTGTCACATCTCCACCAAGCTGTCAATCTCCCCCCATGTCTCTGGAGTACTAACCACTCAGACCTGACAATCATTAATCAGCTCATTAAGGACTCTTCAAATACTCACCCAAACACGTTTCAGGGTCTAGCCTCACAAACAGGAAACTCATAATGACATACAATGGCATAGTGTTCTCCTTATCTCATGTGGACTATCTTCATCTCCAGTTTGGTAAAATTACCTATGTTGTACTATTGTTGATTAGTGTTGAATCCTAACACTGAATCCCCAAACCAGTCAAGTGCAAACGCTGCCCCACAGCCAATTCTAAAAATGTAATTGATTATGTCAATCACAGGGCTTGTTGCATAACAGTGCAAACAAAATTAACCCTAACCCAGTGAATCATTGCCACAAGTAGCCAAGAAGAGATCTTTTCCACGTGTTCCCCTGTCAGTTCCATTGTTTCTCAGCTCTTTTCCTGTCTCCCTTGTTGTCTCCCTTGTTCCCTTCCTGATTTCGTTCCTTTAGCCACCTTTTTCCTACCGGCCCATGGCAACTACGAATGAACTTGTTTAACTGTCTGCATGCTCTACGAATGCAATAATAAGCATTTGGAAAAAAAAATTTATACAATGAGGCGCCATTACTCTCTTCACTCTTCAAACCAATGAACATTAAAAGGAAATTTAAACATTTAAATGTATTAACAAATTACTTTCAGCAGACCATAAATAACAAGTTAAATATTACTGTAGTAATATGTTATGCAATGTGTTTGTTGCGTTAATCAAAAAGTTTCCATCATGAACGGATGATGTATGGATATTTCAAAGAGCTTTCCATCATTTTGACAGATACAAATATTGTATACCCTGTTTCTTCCAGTAAACTGGGAAAGAAATGTGGGGATTTGGGAAGGCAAAGGAGGGATTCTTAGTGCATTGTATTATTCATGGGATATATTGTTTATTAAATCAAAAGCGCAGGCCACAATTGTGCAGTATCTGCTCTCTTTTTCATAGATACAGCAGAAGAAAAAGAAAAGAAAATAGTGAGGAGGAACAGAGAACACTGGACTAAAAAGAGCACTTGCCACAGAAATTCTTGTGATACCAATGTCTCATTAAAATTGCAAGTGTTATGCTAAAATAGGCATGAAGTAAAAATGTGCAGATCATTCAGTCAAATTGACAGATGAGTATTATTTTCAGCGCAACCTTATTATTTGAAATTATTTGTTTCAGTTTTGAAATTCTCCAAACTAGAAGTTTCAGCCATATTTTAAAATGCAATAGAAAAAAAAAGGTGTATGTTCCCACTGTCAGTTTTGTTACTTGGATTTGTCCTTTATGTCTGTTTGGCATAGCTCTTATTACCTCCTTAGCTTCCTGATTCAGTGCCCCCATTTGTATTTTATTCTACGTCTGTGTCTGTTTGTTCTATTTTGGGCTCTGTTTCTATCGTTTTTGGCTTATTTTGTTTCTTATTGTGTAACCAGCATCCATTAAGCCCTGGATCCATTAATGCTTTTTGATGCTCGGTTTCTGTGTTTTATCCTGTTTTCCTTAACACCTTTTCAGTCCATCCATCTGTCCTGTATTTACGTTCACTTCCAACCAAATATGTCCCCATAATATATTTCAATGTTTTGATTATGCAATTACACGTCACACATCTGCATCTATGATAAAATTGTGAAAGAGAAAGTGAAGAACATTTGTTTGTTTTGTCCCTGTAGGGCCATGCTGAGTGATATTGGTGACTATGTTGGCACAGACATTGAAATATCCTGGTTGCCTAATCTGGATGATTTAATGAAAGGTTATGCTCGAAACTTTCGCCCAGGGATTGGAGGTGAGTTTTATATGTGCAGTTTACACTACACTGCTCAACCACCTGCAGTCATTTTTAGCATCAATATTTAGCCTCTTTTTTCACAACAAACCTCACACTTCCTATGACAAGTGATCCAGTTTTTACAGTCAATTTTTAGAGTATTACAATTAGCCCACATATATTTGAATTATATCCTAAGAAACAAGCTTGTGAGAGGCACACCACATGTCACAGTATTGATAAGTACCTAATAAAACATCTTATTCAATAGGTCAGTGGTTCTCCTCTGCGGACCTTTTTGCTCTTCATTTATGAAACTAGTTATAATTGATTATAATAAGTGGGTCATTCTATAATTTAGGTTACATTTCATGTCCACTGATGTTCATTATTTTTTTAAACAGTTTTCTAAGAGAAAACACTATAATTTATATATATATATATATATATAACCAAGTTTTGCAGTTTGTCTTCATGCAATGTCCGCTTTTTTCTGAACTTGAGTTCAAAATAATGAATGAAAATCAAGAGTCAATGAAGTCAATGTCTTATTTCTTTCAAATAATAACATTTTTAATTTTAATCATGTTACTTCATGTTACTACCAAACAGCTCTCTGCAAACTAAAAAAAAAAGATTTATTACAAAACCATGTGACCAGCGTCACGTCATGTCATTTTCTTATATGGCAGACATTTTAAGCACATTATGGTAATTGGTATGGTTTATTTTTTTTCTATATTTTATCTCTAGTGACCTATTATCATAGATTATATTAATTGCCTGTCAACTATGTTCAGTACATTGTTGTGGTTTGCAGTATTTTAATGGTTTCTCTTCAAATAACTATTGAAATTGAACCTGATCAAGAAAATAACATTTGGTCAGCTAGACAAGGCCTGCCATTGAAATTATGAGTCAAGATGGTGACGTTGTCAACTATGTCACCTGGCAACTAAGTTAAGGGATATTTCACTAATTTTACAAAGCACCTAATCAGTGTGTGTAGTGACATAGTTTGTTACATTAATAAAAATAGCAGATAAGTTATACACTGATAAAATATACCAACTGAAACCAAGAGTTGTTTTATTAAGAAGGCATAGGGGAGAGTGGTGTAAGATGAGCCAGTGGGTAGTTGACCCACCCCCTGTATCTTGCCAACTGTACACTTTTGTCATGTGACCAAATATTTTGAAACCACCCATAATTTCTGCCAGACTGTGAAAAGAAGAAACACACGGGATGAGTGGAAGGCACCCAATTACTTTAAAAACTTTTAACAAAGTTTAACAAGTTTTTGGCTTGTCAAAGTAAAATTTTAGCATAACATATGTAATGGCTGTTACATCAAAGTAAATTTATCCAGGTCTAAAAATATTTATGATGCATATAAGTGATTTAGCAATGTATAAAACCATGTAAATCATTTAGCTAAATATTAGCCTGAATTATTAAGCAAGCTAGTTGTTTTCCAAAATGGCAGCTATGGGGCAAAGTGAGCCAAATGCTGTGGGGTAAATTGAGCCAGCATTTTATCTTACCCTACCACAAGGCACTGAAGTTAAGTTAAATCTCTGAAGTATAAACTGGTAGTTTAATGTGATAGTACACAACTGATTTAGTTTAGCATATTTACATATTATTATTTGTAGTTTATTTGATAGGGACAGTGTACAAGTGCACCAAATCCATATCTGATAAGAACCAGAAGATGCTTTTCATCACATTTTAATCAGATATATCTTTCCACATGTAGTCCCTAATGGCCGGTTCGACATTGCAGAAAAGCTACCATGCCGAGAATCTTTTGACTAAATTGTTCATTAGTTTCAGTGACATTTATTCCTTCATTCTAATTCAGTTTTTTATTTTTATTTTACTCCGCAAACTCTCTGTCTAGTCTGTTTTTGGGAACATTACAACTTTGGTGTTAAACATATTGTTTCAGAAATGCAAACAATTAAAGATTGACATTTTCATTTGGTTGGTTTTATGTTGTTTACATTAGCTTTAAGAAAATAAATAAGACTGTTTGAAAAAGGAAATTTGATTATTAAATTCGTTTTTAAAAGAGGTAAATTATCTTTTAAATTGAACATGGGTTTGAACCAGATTCAGTCAGATGGTCAGTTTACAACCAGATGCTTCACATGGGAAAGGGCAAATTAGGCACGATGTAGAGGTCTGCGCGGGACTGTTTTTTTATTCCCGCTCCCGCAAGGTTCTATTCCGCACCCACCCGCTCCCACTATATATTCACTCTTTGTTCACCGCTGTCCGCTTAGAATAATTTTCTTCCCACTAAACTTAGATCTGGTTTCCAGAATCTCACATTTGTTTTTAAAAGAGGTAAATTATCTTTTAAATTGAACATGGGTTTGAACCAGATTCAGTCAGATGGTCAGTTTACAACCAGATGCTTCATCTTACTCATTGACTCGGGTCAACTTACCCCCACCCTGGGGCAAACTGAGCCACAGGAACACTTTTTTTATAAGAAGCCATATTTTTAGAACCCTTTGTCATAGATGCATTCTGATCATTTAAAATGATAGGAAACATCCTGAAGTAACTTTAGATACTTTGATTGTACTTCTGCGTCATTTTCCCTTATCTTGAGGACCACATAAGTAAAAAGTGGCTCATCTTACCCCACTCTCCCCTACTGTTTTTACACTTTTTTGCTGATGTGAAATGTACCCTAAAATATAGAATGACAAAATGTCTTAACTGTGCACTTAATGTTGCCTATGCAATATCATTCAAACTGCAGGAGTCAATCCTGAATAATAAATCATAGAATATTATAATATTATTATATAATTAAAATATACACTACCAGTCAAACGTTTATGAACAGTAAGATTTTTAATGTTTTTTTAAAAAGTATCTTCTGCTCACCAAGCCTGCATTTATTTCATCCAAACTACAGCAAAGTAGAATTTTTCAGGTTTCTTTTATGAATAGAAAGTTCAGAACAACAGCATTTATCTGAAATATAAATATTTTGTAACATTATAAATGTCTTGTAGCAAATTAGCTCAAAAGGGAAATGTATATAAATAATTACAATTAATTATGATTAATTACAATTATTTATATCAGCTGCCAGTAGTAACTGTAGCAGAATTAAATTGCCCTCAACTAATCTGTTCGTCCAGCGAACATTCAGTGTAAGTTCATATCAACTCTAGGAAAGGATATTTTAGTGGCCACAGAAAATACTTTCTTACAGTATTAATGCATTAGAGCATGTAGCAAGGATCAAAATCGTAAAAGGTACAATAATTTGCAAGGCAGAATCAGAAACTCATGCAATTTGTGCACAAGAGTTTTATTAACTAAACACTAACACAAACTAGTCTAACAAACAAACAAACAATCGCTCATCATACATGGGAAAGGGCAAATTAGGCACGATGTAGTGGTTTTTATTCCCGCTCCCGCAAGGTTCTATTCCGCACCCACCCGCTCCCACTATATATTCACTCTTTGTTCACCGCTGTCCGCTTAGAATAATTTTCTTCCCACTAAACTTAGATCTGGTTTCCAGAATCTCACATTTACATTTCCGCTACTGAAAGAAAGAGAGATAGGCTAACAAATAAAAGTGTAGTCTGCACAAAATTGTATTTTATTTTATTCATCTTGTCAAGAGTCTTGAATTTATTGACTTTGACTTGAATTTCTATGAATTATCTTAAGACACAAAATTTGTTTAATATTTTATGCAACACAGTAGGAAAAAATGTGTCAAAGAAAATAAAAATGTTGTACAAAAATTTTATTATTTTTATTCGTCTTGTCAGGATACAGTTCGTTTAACATTGACAACACAATAGGGAAAACTGCTCTGAGCATTGTTATGCACATGCTGCGCACAGACCACACAAATAAAACTTGTGACGTTTAAACAGAGGCAGACAAAGTACTCAACTCCATTACTTGAGTGAAAGTATAGATACTGCTGGTCAAATATTACTCCATTACAAGTAAAAGTTGTAAAGACAGATTTTTACTTAAGTAAAAGTACAGAGTACTTGCTTTTATAAACTTAAGTTTTATTGTCGTACACAATACTTGCAATACTTCTGAAGCAACTTAGAATACATTACACCTGCTGAATACACTGACTAGCTTGTAGTATCTTTGGAATAAAGAGCTTTTAGAATGTTAAAAACCTATGGGGGGAAAAAAACATAAATAAATAAATATTTAACACCCCTACCCACCCCCACAAAAGCAGGATGGTAGTGATCTCACACAGCTCTGACAGTGTGTGCACACATCTATGTGTAGCCATTCATCCACATTTGAACAGAGTGGACAGTGAAATCCTGTAAATACAGAGTGATAAGGAAGAAACTAAATCAAACCTGCTTTAAAACCGAGCAACACAACTGTAGCTGTATGTGACGAGAGGGGCAGGGCCGAGAGCCGTGGGAACGGAGCGAGGCCGGTGGAGTAATTGCGAATGCGCGACACCTGCGCCACTCACCGGTCTCGAGTCTCACGGAGGAGCTCCGGAAGGATACAAAGGAGGAGTGACGACAGGGAAAAACAGGAGAGGACCAGGCATGGACTTTATTTGGTGTTTTGGTTTTGTTTGTGCACGACAGTCGTCCGCGAGGGGCTGTCGCGCTGTTTTGAGTTTATTTTATTATTAAAGTTTGTTTAAGTGTTCGCCGGTTCCGCCTCCTTCTTCCCGACCTACAAACTACGTTACATTGGTGCCGAAACCCGGGAGGAAGGAGGGACATGCTGTCAGAGAGCCCTCGCTGCTGAGGGGGATCGCGGTGCTGAGGAGATCGGGCAGCGGGAAGAAAGCGGAGAGACCGCCGGTGGCTGCCCGAGGCGGTGGTGCTGGAACTATGGAAGACGAGGTGGGACGGAGAGCTCTGTGACGAGAGGGGCGGGGCCGAGAGCCGTGGGAACGGAGCGAGGCCGGTGGAGTAATTGCGAATGCGCGACACCTGCGCCACTCACCGGTCTCGAGTCTCACGGAGGAGCTCCGGAAGGATACAAAGGAGGAGTGACGACAGGGAAAGACGAGAGAGGACCAGGCCTGGACTTTATTTGGTGTTTTGGTTTTGTTTGTGTGCGACAGTCGTCCGCGAGGGGCTGTCGCGCTGTTTTGAGTTTATTTTATTATTAAAGTTTAAGTGTTCGCCGGTTCCGCCTCCTTCTTCCCGACCTACAAACTACGTTACACTGTATAACTTTACAACAGAAACACTGCTTTAACAAAAAAGCAAAACAGCAAGACTTATTTGACATCAAAACAAACATTTTAAAAATTCTGTCTAATAGCTCTCGCGGTACTTTGATGTCACACACAGAACGGTCTGTGCAGTGCTGCTCCAACACCTTTTATGTTTTATTAGGAGATGCACAACAGTTTTTCTGTGGCTTTATAGGTAATATTTTCATGTACACAATTTAGCAAAATCAGAAAATATTGTGTCTAATATATACCACAATATTAACTTATTATTATTGAATTGTTGTAAATAAATATCACATTTGCAGCTGGTCAGTGTTCAAAAAATGCTGGGAAATCATTTCATGTAGCCCTAGAAGAGTGATTACTGATAAACTGTCTAAAAAAAAGGAAGTCAAGTTTTAGAGAAGAAAAAAAATCACCCACTGACTTTCAAAGCTGCTACATAGTAACGACTTTCTACTTCAAGGACCTTGATAGAAATGTAGTGGAGTGAAAAGTACAATATTTGTCTTTCAAATGTAGTGAAGTTAAAGTTATAAGTTCCCAGAAAAAATAATACTCAAGTAAAGTACCGATACTCAAAAAATGTACTTAAGTAAATGTACTTAGTTACTGTCTGCCTCTGTGTTTAAAGCATGTAGCGCGTGCATAACAGTCCTGAGCGCAAGCTGTACCGGTGGTCAATAAGAATAAAACACAGATATGCTGTTCTAAATGGACGTCGGGAACGGGATATTGTTAGACCGCCCGCTCCCATTCAAATTACACCAGAGTTACCGACTGCTACCGCATTTTATTCGGGAATTTAATCCCGTGGCGCAAAAAATCCGGTTGGGTCCCACGGTTCCCGTGGGAGAGTCGCAGGAACGCAGACCTCTATCTTGATGGTTTCAAGGTTTTGAACTTGCGATCACGTTCTTCTGGGTTTGAAGAGTGATGAATTTTAAAGATGTTCTGACTCGATGGTGATTGGGAGTTTCTTCCCAGTGAAAAGTGAAAAAGAGCTAAGAGAGACATCAGCTGAGATCCTAGGATCTTTGGTGACTGGAAAGTCAAGGCCTGGTGCAGACTTAAGGGTTGCAGAAGCGTTCAAGCTCACATCCTCGTCTTCTCAGAATCTATCAGAACCGCAGACTGACTGGGGCGGGTTACTGATGTGAGAGCTTTATTGCCTATTGAGCTCACACCTCCGGGAGGTCACAGAGCCAATGATGGCTTTCACTTTTGGAGGGAAAGTTTACTACTCTTTGTCTTAGAGCATGGTATTTTGCATATGTAATTTGATTGGGTGTTGATGCAAAAACTACTGAACACTACTATATTGCCTATGTACCAACATATCATATACACTCTCGTTTAGATCATCAGAAGACGAATTCATAGATACTAAACATGGTAAGATTACATGACAGTATACAATACAAGAGACAATATACAAGAACAGTAACAACATACACAATGACTTGAAGTATATGTGTGTTCATTCAAAGAAAGGTTTTCCTATGAATTAATTAGAGAAGAGTCCATTTTTATGGGCATTATGTGTCTGTTTTAGAGAGAACTCAGTAGGAGGAAGATTCTCTCTACATACTTTTAGGTCGTAAAAGTTTATCTGATCTGGCTGAGGGGTCCAGGTTGCCATGGTAACCAGGGGCCAGTGTCGTTCACAGACATCCTGGCACCCAGTATGTTTATTGGGTGAGGGGTCTGTGACTATTTGTTAATCTAATGAATAATTGATTTGTTAAATCTAATGAAAAATGGTGTGTCTGATTGGTCCAAATGCTACAGTGTTTATCATCACTTTTGATCAATTTAAAGCATCCTTGCTAAATAAACGTATTAATGTCTATAATTTCTTTCCCCCCCAAATTTTATTTTATTTTTTTAATTATACTGACTCCTTTTGAATGGTAAAGTGTATAAGGTTACAAAAGCTTTTTGTTTCAGATAAATGCTGAACTTTGGATCTTTCTATTCAACAAAGAATCCTGAAGAAATGTACTCAACTGTTTTAAATATTGATGATAATAATAATAATAAATGTTTCTTAAACAGCAAATCAGCCTATTAGAATGATTTCTGAAGATCATGTGACACTGAAGACTGGAGTAATGATGCTGAAAATTCAGCTTTGATCACGATCCTCAAATAAATGCAGACTTGGTGAGCAGAAGAGAATTCTTTAAAAACATTAAAAATCTTTCTGTTCAAAAAGTTTGACTGGTCGTGTATATGCTTATTATATTATAATGGGAAAGGATAAAAGGAAAGTGAATGAGACGGACAGGTGGCTCTTACGACTTTAGTCCAGACTTTAAAGGTTCTCAATTGCTTTGGGCAACCCAGTCTCATAAAAATACGTACCTCTGGGTGCTTTTCTGCAACACCATTTTTACGTACCTTACTGCACGTTTCGCCGCAGTTTCAAAGAGAAATGTCCACTGAGTGGCGCTAAAACATGGGTTCAATACGTGAACCCTGGCACGTTTTTATTACGTTGATATAGGTACGTATTGCTGTTTTATTACATTGCTTCAGGTACGTATTGCGGCGGTTCAGAATTCAAATATCCGGGAACTGCTAAGAGTTAATGCTCTATCGTGTTGGAAATATGCCCTACACCAAACCCAACCCTAAACCTACCCGATAGTGTTAACAAATGCTAAACTGATATAAAAACGCATTTGTTGATGTAACCGTGTCATTTGAACTTACTTATATGCAGATTTGAACCATTTTGTCGAACCGTAGTTACACGGGATTTGTGAGCTCCTTGCCTCTCAAATGCGTCTCCGTACTCCGTGAGCTACCGAACAAAGCTACCGTCGAAGAAAACCCATTGATATGAAGCTGGATATGTGCGGTGCTAACGTTCAAAAGCATCAGTTTTCAAATCTCCCAGCATATTAAAATTGTTTTGAAGTCATAACATGATATTCTTCAAGTAATTGTGCGAAAATTACGCTTTATTAATCGAAACTCTGTAAATGTGTGAAAAGGAATAAAAGGTGTCGGAGTTTTACTGCCTCTAGTGTTAATTTCTTTTGGAAACTGCAGTGATATGTACTTATTGGTACATATTTCGCGTCTCGCAAAAATGTGCCCCCGGGTACGTTTTTGATATGAGACCAGGTTGGCTTTGGGAACTACTTCACAATTTTTACAATGTGGCACCCTTCAAACATGACAGATTCGTGCCATATCCTTGTGGATTGTGCTCTGACATATGGTATGGTATCGCTTCAGGAGACCTTGAGTCCCTTGCTGCCACAGTTCTCGTGTTGCTGCTTCTCTCTTCTCACACTGGCTAATATACTGCATAATAAAATATTTATATAATTAAATATTAAATAAAGAATTATACAATCACATTCACAGCTTTTTCTGTCACATGACTCACAACAAATCCAAGCCACTCAAGGCTTTTTGTTGTCACTGTACACCAAATCTTGTACTTTGCATCTGCTTTTCTTTCATAAACGTACCATTCTACAAAAAAACCCACACCAGTGGAAGTGATATTTTACATCCTTGAAGCAGCTTCCTTCTATTGGTGCCCAATGAATTTGATCATTTTATTTGATATTACTTCATTTTTATCTTTTAGCATGGTTCATATAAAAAAAAATTTTAATAAAGATTTGGAAAATTGGAAGAAAGCTTAAAGAGTAGTGTTTTTTTCTCAAATTATTTCAATTTAGATGACAAGTAGGTGAAGTCTGATCATTTATTTTGTCTCCTCAGGACCTCCCGTGAATGTCGCCATGGCCATTGAAGTAGCCAGTATTGACCATATCTCAGAAGCCAACATGGTAATGTGTTGGATATCGCCCTATTTCACATGTGTGATGTACTGGGTTTGTTTTGTTGCTGTACTGGAAAACAATCATATTTTTGTCATTAATGTAGATTTAAAAAATGTAATGTGCTAAGCTCCTTTTGAATATTTTTCTTTCCAAATGGATTGGATTCAGTTCCAGAATAATTAATAAAATAAACAACAGGAGTAAATCTAAATTCATGATTTACTAAAACATCTCGTAAAATGTTCAAACAAATTTAAAAATCACTGGACACATAAGAAACAACAAGACATTTCGGTGTTCCTCTGAAGACCATCCTCAGTTGTAAAAACACAAGTAACTTTGGCAAATATTCATATGTACAAGTCACAAGACTACTAAGTTGTCTGAGCTGCTTGCCAGAGCAGATGGTCTTCCACCGTATGTGGTCTTGTCGTTTCTTTTTATGTAGTCCAGTGACTTTTAATAAAGTGTTTGCTTGAACAAGTAGGGGTGAGTATACCATTGTACAGTGCAATATCATTAAAATGTTAAACGATTCAGAATTGTATCACCTTTCTAAGTTGACAAGCACAGTACAGTACAGTTGTTTACAAAGACTATATTAAAAATACAGATGCTAAAGTAGAAACTCAAAGCAACAAAAGTGAATACACCTGTTTACAATAATCATCTGTGTGTTTGGATTAATGGAATGCATGAAAAAATGTGAAAAAAGCGGAGCAATTTTAGTAAAGTTTGGTTTCAATCTTGCTTTCGTGTTTACTGTGAATTTGGCAACATCTCTCTACATTTACTGATCTAAATGTAATGCTGCAATCAACACTTTTCATTCATCATCACATCTCACTTTAATCGCCGCAGTCGTAATAAAATTCGTTTAATTCCACAGAGGCTTATTTTGCCCCATTATTTTGAATTTGGGGAGCATTGTTTTGGCTTTTTTTGCCCCAAGTCCTCATTAAAGTCTGTAGGCTATAAATGACCCTGTAGGCTATAAAGTAAGGCTGGATATTGTTACTTCACAATAAAATATGTAAAATTATACATTCTTTATGATACAATATGACGATACAAATTGACAAACTCCATCAAAGCTTGTTTTAAGATCAAAACTGCATGACAGAGACAGACGAGACACTAAATATGCTGATCTCTCTGCTGAATTAAAAATACATATGTCTGGAAATATACTGTAGGTCACATTCCTTCTGTAGATATAAAAATCATGATGGTTATGTAAATAATTATATAAAAAAATATATTTAAGCAACTGTAAGGCAAGTACTACAAGCGGTACTCAATTCTCACTATTAACTAACTATTAGCTATGAAATTTAATTAGCAATTAATTTGTAATTGTTATTGTTAGTATGGTAGTTGTTAAATTTAGGTATGTGATAGGATTAAATTACCTAAAATATGGACATGCAGAATAAGGCATTAATATGTGCTTTTTAAGTACTAATAAATAGCCAATATGCTAGTAATATGCATGCTAATAAGCAACTAGGAGGATGATCAGATCAGGGCCCGTATTCACAAAACATTTTATCTTACCACTAAAGTTCTCCTAAATAGCAGTAAAAGTTTTTAGCTAAGAGTTTTCTCTTAAACCCTATTCACAAAGCTACTGAGACAAACTTAAGCATAAACTCAGAATAAAGGGGCGGGGTTTACCTCGTTGCTATGGATGATGTCAGCATGCTTACTAACGATGCACACAGTGATTGGCTGATAGTCTCTGTCAGAGATTTATTCATAGAGCTATTATAGAGCACGATTTTATGTTGCCATATTCAAATAAAGGTTTAAAACTAAAAATGTTAATTGCCACATCCAAATAAATATTTTAAAATGCAGGCTAAGAGTCACTAATTAAACAAGTATATGTTCAGCTAATTGTCAGCCTCTTACATGTATGCTTCTCATAATTAGTGAATATGCTTATAAACAGCCTTTTAATTAACAGAGTAGAATAATCATGGCTGATAGTAAGACATGCAAACGTAAAAGAAAACCAAACTGGACTCAAGAAGAGCTGTTACTTCTTGCCCAACTGGTTAATGAAAACAAGGATATAGGCTAATCAAAGGAAAATTGTCTCGACAAGTTCTACAACAGTCATAATACCCCCATGATTAAGGCGGTATACCTTTTTAAAAGCTCATTATTGTCAAATGTTTACATTCCAAGGCAGATTGCCAGCAACAGCTATTTTAGGATAGTTTGTGGTTTGGTCTTAGTGACTTAGGAGTCCTCTTCTCTACTCTTAATCTTTCACAGATTTAGGAGCTAGTTTTAGTGCTAAAATGCTTTGTGAAATAATCTTAGAGCAAAAATGTAGAAGTCCTAAATTTAGAACTGACACACCCATTATTTTTAAGATTTTCTCATAAATCGGTGAGTTATGAGCTACTTTTAGCTTTAAGATATTTTGTGAATATGGGCCCAGATCTGTGTGTGGAGCACTGGCTTTTGTCTGTTGTCACTGCGCTTCATCTCGTCCATTTCCAGCCGCTCGCGCCACTCGTTCATTTTCAAAAAACATCGCAGAGCAGAGAGAACACAGACAGCAAGCTGACAGACACGACAGAGCAGGTCACTTCTGATTAGGGATGTAACGGTATGAAAATTTCCTATCACGGTTATAGTAACCAAAATTATCACGGTTATCAGTATTATCACGGTATTGTTAAAATGTGCTGGAGATGTTCAAAAAGTACTGACACATAAATCACTTCACCAAGTTATATATTTAAAAATCAACAAACAAAATGACTTTTTTGTTGCATAATCACTAAAACAATAACATTACCAATGATGTTCAGATTTTAAATGGCAACTTGACTGACAACAGTTTAATAGCATGTTCAAATATCTAATGTAAATGTTCAAATAAAGCTTTGAAAAAGTTTCATAAAAAGGTCAACCTCACATTTCAGCATTCAAATAAAGAAAAGAGTTAAGTCAGAATGATAATTGATTAATAGATGATTATATTTATTTTATCTGCTCCATAAATAATTCTAGATAACTTATCTGAATTGTTCAAATGTGTAGAATCCACACTGTTTTTCATCGACTGGTCAAAATTTACAGCAGAGCATGCAAATTCTGTCTGTTTTTGGCCAAAAGTCTCTGTAAATCCACTCTCTGACACTAGGTGGCGCTTATGGAAAAGCAGAATTACAGCAAAAATCACTTTTTGTTTGGATAATCACTAAAACAATAACATTAACAATGAGGTTCGTATTTTAAATGATAACTTGACTGACAACAGTTTAATAGCATGTTCAAATATCTAATGTAAATGTTCAAATAAAGCTTTGAAAAAGTTTCATAAAAAGGTCAACCTCACATTTCAGCATTCAAATAAAGAAAAGAGTTAAGTCAGAATGATAATTGATTAATAGATGATTATATTTATTTTATCTGCTCCATAAATAATTCTAGATAACTTATCTGAATTGTTCAAATGTGTAGAATCCACACTGTTTTTCATCGACTGGTCAAAATTTACAGCAGAGCATGCAAATTCTGTCTGTTTTTGGCCAAAAGTCTCTGTAAATCCACTCTCTTAAATCCACTCGCTGACAGCAGGTGGCGCTTATGGAAAAGCAGAATTACAGCTGTTTCCCGTAACCTCCGTGCACAAAGCAGTATTGCGATTAAGAACACTTAATTCAGGTATTGCATGGAGCGAAGATGAAAACATTTTGTTTTTCGAATCTTTTCTGAAGACAGTCAGAACCTTCAGAGGTACATTCATATAATTAACTCATTCATATATTCATTTGTAAAATTCCCTTAGCACTCTTTTGAAACCTCCCAGCTTTTCCGCCCTGTTTTCACTCAAAACTAAATTACTCTGCGTGCTGTGCGCACGTGAGACTGTTACTTAAAACTGTGTTTTATGCTGGACAGTATTTATTTATTGTGAGTTGCTCAAATCGCGGTAATCTTATACGGTTTTATGATATGAATATGAAACGGTAATACTAACCGTGGGGAATTTTATCACAATTTATCGTCAACACATAACTGCAGAAAATCCATTCAGTGTCCATAAACTAGCGAGAAGAATGTAGCCTACACTACAGAGGAGAATTTTGCAAAAATTACTTTTATTATATATTTACTCATATAATTGCGTAATTTACTTTTTATTATAGTTAATAATGTAAAGATATAACGTTATAAAAAATGGTATAATAGTATAAAAATCAGTTGTTACTTTTAACCTCAACAATTGGGTTCCCTGAATAGTTTAGTTTAGAAAAAAAATGAGAAAAAATAACATACCGTGTTGTCCCGAATATAAGACAATGTTTTTTTCTTGGAAATACATCTGAAAAAATGCAGTCGTATTATATTCAGGGTCTAGACTTTGACATGTCAATAATACACCCACAACAATAGGTGGCGCCAAATACGCAGAAAACGAGTGTGCCATGAAATACGTAATGTAATGCGTGTTGTAAAGATCGCGAGTAAAAACAAAAGAAAAAGAAAAGCTTACAGCTGCATGAGTCGTGACTGTGACGTTAGCCTGATGAGACCAAACTCCCTTTGTGATTTTAAAACGTAAGACAGTACCCAGATTTGAAGACTACAGTAAGATTTAACTTCTACTGTTAATATGATTTTGGTAGGCTACTATTAGATGGATAGCCTAAATGTCCTAATTCAGATGGGCTTACCTGTTTTTTTGTTTTTTTAATGGTATATCAAAAAGTGTATATATTTTTTATGTGATTGTTGGTACATTTTACCAGTTTTTACCATACGTTCAAAACAAAAATTAAAATAGGAAAAATATGCAATATGAAAATAATTGAAGACAAAATGTGTTTTACTGAGAAAAAAACAGATTTGGTTTTTAAAAAGCCTTTTTCCAAAAGGTACATCTGGAAAAAGGGGGGTCGTCTTATAATCAGGGTCGTCTTATATTCGGGCCAATACGGTACTTAAATCGCAAGCTTGTAAATTATTCCTGAATAATTCTTACTCCAGGCTGAACTCAAAAGTTATCAGCCCTGTTCGAAGTAAGTTGAAGTTTTAGGTTTCCTGAACAACATTTTCAAAATTTACTGTAGTCTACAAGGTAATGTTAGATCTTTTGCTTTGGTCATCCGAGACAAATTTTGAAAATCCTAAAAGATGCTAGGCTAAAACCTGTAGTCTTTGATCACTGGTTTGACATGTTCACCGACAGCCGATTAATGGCTGTTGCGATCAAATTTTACCTTAAATTCTGTCAGTGTCAGAAGATTTGGCGCACTCCTACGATGAACGTCAAACTGTCTTCTCAAGACAAGCCATGATCAGAATTAATGCTAGAGATTTCTTCTAACTGCCATAAACTTCCCATCCTCCGCTCACGGCATACATATGATATGCTGCCTTTGCTATGATAAACACGTTGTCAAGTGATGTAAATAAATTTTACAATAGTTTATTGTGCATGCATATTATATTTAAAGTTGCTTAAGCAAAATCAAGGAGTTTTTAAGACTGGTTTATTCATTCTTTATACTGTAGACATGTAGAACATATCTGCGTTTGTGCATCAATGTCTGTACTGTGTGCTGTAGGTGTGAAACTTTTAGGAATCTTATCCAAGTTGTCAATATTGGTCAGTCAGTCGTATCTGAGGATCCGCGAATGAAACTGTGACCACAAACACCATTAACTTAAGTGAATTATATGGCAATAATCAGCAATATGCTTTCACACAAATAACTTTATTTTTGAATGTTTCAATACGTGTTGACACAAATGACTTATTTGAATTTTTCATTGATACAACATGGCACTGAGTTGTTAGAAAAGAAATGCGTAGAGACGTTATTGCTTGATGACGTCAGGAACCGATGAATCGGCTTTTTGAACCGGTTCAATGAACCGATCTGTCCGAAAAGAACTGGTTCGCGGAAATGAATCGGACTTTGCATCACTACTACCGGTGTATATACAAAAAGTCCTCTGAAGTGATAACCCAAAAGTGCTGGAAAGGTGAGTCCACAAAGATAACTCCACTATCCAGTATGTAGGTGATCACCAAATGGTCATAAGCAATGACCCTGGTTGTTTGGCATGCTGCCTCCTTTATGCTGTCCATTTCCTATTTCCTGTCATGTGATCAGTCACATGACAGGCAGACCCAGACTCATTTAAAGAAAAAAAAACTCAAACAGAAGAACACAAAAACAAGAAAATACTCAAACGACAAGTCAGCATCACATAAGGACGTAACACATACACACATTAAAATGGTTAAGAGGAATAAAATGGCTAAGACAACACGAAAACCTATTAAAACTCAAATATACATCAAATCATTATAATATATTGAGCAGGTTAAAACGTGTCCTGTGTGACAGTGTCACATAGTAAAGAACTTTCCTTTATGATCTTGATATGAGGGTGTGAGTGAGAAAGTCTGAATTATGTGCAAGTTCCAGAATTTGGGAAAGCTTAGCCTATATATTTTTTTAAATCGAACGATAAATATTATATATTCCAGTGCTTATCAGTAGGCTTTGCTCCATCATTTATTAATAAATGACATATGTGTTTACTGTATGTGGTTTATTTATCCCAGTCTTTTAAAATCTCAGAATGAATGCATGCTAATAAGCAACTAGTTAATAGTGTTCCCTAATCTAAAGTGTTACCAAGAATTTTAAACATAAATCTAATCCTACATCTCAAATGTTAACACATTGGCAACCCTGCTACTTTTTTTAAAGAGTGTGTTATAATGATTTAATGAACACAGGCTTTGCTGTCAAAGTCTTAAAAAGTTTATAAATGACTTCGACAGTTGGTTAAACCGGCTCATTCGGTTCTTGTTGAGTCCTCGGTAATCGTCAGCAAACTTCGTCACGGCTCATTCAGTTCTTGTTGAGTCCTCGGTAATCATCGGCAAACTTCGACAGTTGGTTAAACCGGCTCATTCGGTTCTTGTTGAGTCCTCGGTAATCGTCAGCAAACTTCGTCACGGCTCATTCAGTTCTTGTTGAGTCCTCGGTAATCATCGGCAAACTTCGACAGTTGGTTAAACCGGCTCATTCGGTTCTTGTTGAGTCCTCGGTAATCGTCAGCAAACTTCGTCACGGCTCATTCAGTTCTTGTTGAGTCCTCGGTAATCATCGGCAAACTTCGACAGTTGGTTAAACCGGCTCATTCGGTTCTTGTTGAGTCCTCGGTAATCGTCAGCAAACTTCGTCACGGCTCATTCAGTTCTTGTTGAGTCCTCGGTAATCATCTGCAAACTTCGACAGTTGGTTAAACCGGCTCATTCGGTTCTTTTCGAGTCGGACGTGCTACTTCGGCTGTGTGTCCTGCATCATCAACCCAGAACTAAAGTTCGATTCAGTTCGATTTGTGAACCGGCTCGACCGGTTACTTCATGAGAACCGGCTCAAAAGAACGATTCGTTCAAGAACCTAACATCACTAATCTAGTCTCTAACTCAAACCAATTTGCACTTATGTTTCTGCCAATAACTTTTGAACTTGCCTTCTGCTTTTCCCTTTAGATTTGCATGAAAATCAAATCAGATAACTTAAAATCATGCTATTAAAATAATATGGAATTCAGGTTAATCAGTCAGTCTATTTTCAGACCATACCAACAAATGTTGTGGATTATGTGTTGCTAGACCAAACGATTATTACAGTAGTCAACATTTGAAGTGGATCAAAAATGTTCATCAGAGTTGTCCTAAAACAAGAACGGGTATTGTTTTGGTTTTAGGACAACTTTGATGATAGGTTTTGATCCACTTCAAATGTTGAATACTGTATTTAATGCATTCACCAATTTGATGGCATTATACTGAACTGAATCTGAAGCTGCCACCAAACTTTGTATGTGCCCTTGTCACACCACACTGACCACAGCACATAAATTTTATCACAGCACCACCTATTGGTCAAAAGTAATAAGTATTATTATTATCTATATTAATTATTGATTTTACCATGTTTTAGGAGGAAGAAGAGCACCCCATTTCAATGGTCAAACCATTGTAATGCACAGCCTCTAATGGCTTATTGCTTGATTTAACTCAGTGCTTTAAAGTAAATTGTCTGTAAATCTGTACAATACACAACAATAAATCTCAGAAATGTTATTTAACAACTGTAAATGTTTTGTTTGTGTGCATTTATTTTGACAGGAATACACCATGACAGTATTTCTGCGGCAGAGTTGGAGAGATGACCGTCTGTCCTACAACCACACAAACAAAACTCTTGGCCTGGACAGCCGCTTTGTGGACAAACTCTGGTTACCAGACACATTCATAGTTAATGCCAAATCAGCCTGGTTCCACGATGTCACTGTGGAGAACAAACTCATACGCCTGCAGCCTGATGGAGTCATTCTCTACAGCAGTCGGTACGTGGGTATGCTTTAAGTGCATTTTAAACTAGTTTGTAATTTTCCATTGGCAATAATGTAAAAGGACTTTGGGCAGCACAGTAAAGCTGGAATGTTGACAGGTCACAATAAAGGGAAGAAAATTTAAGTTAAAAAACTCATGTTTATAAATGGTCATTATAACAAAATAAACATAAAGTGGTCTGTTCTTCATTTTATTACAAATAAATCTGCCTATCCACTTGTCTACTTAAAGGGGTCATATGATGTGATTTCAAGTTTTCCTTTCTCTTTGGAGTGTTACAAGCTGATTGTGCATATATAAGATCCCTGAAGTTGCAAAGACTAAAGTCTCAAAACCAAAGAGATATTCTTTATCAAAGTAAAGACTCTGCCACGCCCCCTTTGTAGAAAACGAAGCGTTTGAGAGAGGCGAGGCATAGAGAACCTACAATAATGTACAGTATTTGAAACATAATGTGTTTTTTGAACATTAAAGCATGTCAACATATTCTGTTACACCAAATACACAAAATAATGATCTTTAAAAAAGCATCATATGACCCCTTTAATAAATAAATAAAGCCACCATTGACCAACCACTTATTTCTGAGAGCTGTTTAAAGCAAACCAACAGTATGGGAAAATATGTGGAGAAAAAAAAATCCCACTAACATCATTTTCAAAGGATCATATCATTTACTTTCAAGTCTTAACACATGATCACAGAGGGTTTATTTCTTCTCTGTGACCTGCTCCATGTTCAAAATGTTTAAGCGTGATGGTTTCCCTTTCAGAATTACATCTACAGTCGCATGCGACATGGACCTCACAAAATACCCCATGGATGAACAGGAATGCATGCTAGACTTGGAAAGCTGTGAGTAAAGGGGAAACTTATATCTGGCATCTCTCTTTTGCATTTACAGTGTTTCATCTTCATGAGCACAAAAATTATTCCTGCACAAAAAAACCAAACCATGATAACGATGCCTGTGACTTTATATTTCACAAAAATCCTATATTTTATTTTATTTTTCCTGTTGGTGGTTTTGCAGATGGCTACTCTTCAGAAGATATTGTGTATCACTGGTCAGAGAGTCAGAAACACATTCATGGGCTGGACAAATTAGAGCTGTCCCAGTTCACCATCACAGATTATCGCTTTGTCACAGAGATGATGAACTTTAAATCTGGTGAGGCTTTTCATCGACACGGTCTGATATATCTGATGTAACTAAACTCTCCCAAAAATGTCATTGCTAATGCTGCAGCAACTGTTGTTTTCACTTTGAATTGTTTTAATCTATTTTGTTAACTCAGAAACCATATTACATATTTTCATATTGTCATTCTTGAAACAGCAGGGAGATTTCCACGTCTCAGTTTACGGTTTCAACTAAGGCGTAACCGAGGAGTTTACATCATCCAGTCCTACATGCCCTCAATCCTACTGGTTGCCATGTCATGGGTTTCATTCTGGATCAGCCAATCAGCTGTGCCAGCAAGAGTGTCTTTAGGTCTGTAGCTTACAGTTTCTAAAATGTATACTTCACCATATGTGTGTGTGTGTAGATATATAATATTATATTTTAAAATATACTAGATGTTCTCCATATCTCGCATGTTTAAAAAAAAACTAATTTGCGAAAAGTCAAATTTGTACATTTTAAAAATGAATAGGTAAACATTTTTTTTTTATATTCCAAGTTTTTACTTTATAAGTAACTTTACAACTACATATCAGCTACCAGTTATTAGAGTATTAGTAGACTGTCTGATTGATATCCACTTTATTTTAATGGTTCCCCAACAGATATTCTACTGACTATAAGTAACTTTGTAATTACATGTCAACCTATTCTATAGTATACTAAGACTCTGAGTTAGTTGACATGTAGTTGCAAATTAATGAGAATTTGATGACATGTAGTTACAAAGAGTTAGTAGAATGTCTAGTAAAATCAGTAATCGGTACAATTTTAAAACAAATCACACACACCCACGTGCAGTGCTTTGATGCATACGTTTACTGTAACGCTGGTTGACAGAGCGAGTAGGATGAAAGTGCAAAAAATGTAATAAAAATAAAAGCAAATACAGACACGGGGAAACATAGGCAGAAGCAAGTAAATCAAGGGAAACAAACTTAACTGACAATACCACATGTGAAACATGCAATAAGGACAACATCCGACAGAAAACATGGGGACTGTCTGCCAGACAAGGATTAAATTAAAGTCAAACTGGGCTAATTCTACTTAAATTAATCCAGACTAAAAAATAAATGGCATTTTAAGACATTTCTTAATTTGAGATGAATTATTCTTCTACTTTTTGTGAAGTCTGATTAGTTTAATGATGTGCACATAGAGTCGATGTGAGGACACTTGAAAAACCAGGGATGGAACCCTAACAAACAGTGGCGTTGTGTAGAATTTGAATTATTTTTTTATTACGAAAACCCCAACTCGTTATCTTTTAATTATGTTGTTAATTTCTTTATGTGAAAATTTTTTTTCACCCACAAGCAAAAGTGGCTTAAATCTCCTTTATGTTTTCCTCTTTTTCTTGTTGAATTGAACTGTCTTGTTACATCCCTCAGGCTTATAAATAACACACAAAAAAGAAAAAAAATGCAATTTGTTTATGCAATATGATGAATTATTCAAAGATATTTAACCTTGTCATTGTGCATTTTTTCTGTGTATCACTGATTCTTGAGAAGTGGGACAAAACAGGGTGAAATATTGAATATTAAAATATTGAAATATAAAATATTGAATATTGTACTCAGACAAATGAATCTACATTTTTGTATCTTACATGTACTAATGCTGCGTTCAAGTCCTCCTGGGACGTTCGTACTTACAAGTTGACAAGTCGTAATAACTACGTCAGGTGCGTTCAAGTCACTTTGGTCGGAACAATATGGCGATTGAACTTTTTTTCCATAAAATTCAACGATTTTTTAAAACTTTACATCTACCAAATGATGAATAAAGAATGTGCGTCATTTTGTTTTTGCTTTTTTTCTGTTTTTATTCATTTTATGAAGGTGATGTAAACTGTATGTTCTTTGGTAACTATACAATAATATAATATTTTGTATATGTAACATATAGTTTTATTTTACATTACTAAAAATTAATAATTTTATTAATTTCAACAAATTTACCATCGAAACGGGCTTCCATACAATACAGATGCTGCATATCTAGTCTTTGGATGCGTCCATTGCATCCGACACGTTTTCTCACTGACACGCCCCCAACTCGGAAACTCGGGTTAAAGTAAATGTCGAGTTTCCCACTCTAATAACGACTTTGTGGTGGCGTTCATATAAGATCTATCCGACATGACTTGAACGCACACTGATGTACGGTGCGTTCCAAACTGGATATATCACCCTCCGAAGGGCTCTTCGGAGTGAAAACAATCATGGCCGCCATATTGAAGGGTCGTTCCAAACCGAAGTGCTCAAAACTGGGGTACAACTGATGGACACTTCGAGATCCCATGATCCTTTGCATGATGACAGTGCCTCCGTGTGGGCATGTAATGACGGGCCCTTGAAGAAACAGTTGTTTGGTCCCCTACACCTTTCAACCCTTCGAAGCTCTCACTCCCAAGGGTAAACCCTTCGAAGGGATTAGGGCATAGGGATAAGCCCGTGACATGTGGCGACCCATACTCAGAATTAGTGCTCTGCATTTATCCCATCCAAAGTGAACACACCCGGAGCAGTGGGCAGCCATTTTTGCTGCGGCGCCAGGAAGCAGTTAGGGGTTCGGTGCCTTGCTCAAGGTATACTCAGAATTAGTGCTCTGCATTTATCCCATCCAAAGTGAACACACACGGAGCAGTGGGCAGCCATTTTTGCTGCGGCGCCCGGGAAGCAGTTAGGGGTTCGGTGCCTTGCTCAAGGTACTCAGTCGTGGTATTGAAGGTGGGAGAGAGAGCACTGTACATTCACTCCCCCCACCTACAATCCCTGCCGGTACGAGACTCAAACTCGCAACCTTTGGGTTACGAGTCCGACTCTCTAACCATTAGGCCACGACTTCCCCCGTTCTGTATATGTATATAAATCCATGATATTCATCTTTTCTACAATATATATATATTTTTAAATATATGAGTAACAGGTGCACTAACATCTCATTGCATCACTAATTCAACATCCCTACCTATATTGTTTTCCTCAGCATTTGCAATGTCTGCACAAAGGAAACGTCAGGCAGCGGCTCGAAGATCTTTGGAGAAGACTGTTGATTTTACTTACAATAAATGCTGACCAATAATTAATTATGTCTTTTTTTTTACTGAAAATGATAAAACAAACCAAATGTAGTTTGTTTCATCATATGACAGCTATACATGAATATATACAAGACAAATGCAGCCCAGGTGAATACATCTCAATTTTTAGTCAAGCAATGAATTAATGCATGCATGAATGAGTAAATTTTATTTACTATCAACAATAGGAAACATGAATAAATGAGTAAAAGGACTGAATAAAAGTAAACATCACACTATAATAATAATTAAAAAAATAAATACATGTACAAGAGAACAACACAGGAAACAAAGACTTTATTCAAACTTATTGTTCTAACAATCACATATGTACAGGCGGTGAACCCCACACCCTACTGCCATCTCAACACATCTGTGCCAATTCTGTGGCTGTGGAAAGGGACATCGAGTCTCTCCTTGCCTGAGTGCACCCATCTGCCTCATCACCCCACACAGAGAGCCTTACAGAACCCTGTGCAGCTCGTTTCAACAGCCAGCGCTCCTGTGCACAAAGCATAGCAGACTAAGACTTTGGCTTGCTGAAAACACGCTGATGCTCTGTTTTCTTCAAGGCCTTATAGGTGAGCCCTGCATTTGTAACTGCGGTTGTTGCGTGCTGCGCTGTGCTTCACAATGCCGCTCTTCATCATTGAGCCAGAGGACGAGGAAGACCATGAGGATTTTTGTAAATCCTGTTTTGTAAGTGTCTCGGGCACAAACGCTCAATAAAGCTGCTTATTTCTTTTCTTAAAGTTTATTTCTTCAAGGTACAACTATAATATAAAAGCATACATAGGCTACCATTTCTATTTGAGGGTTTTAAAGGGTTAGGCTGGTTGGCTGATCTTAGCTGGTTTAAGCTGGAAGTATGGTTTTAGCTGGGGCAAGTTCAAGCTCAAACCGGTGTGCACCGTTTTGCTACAGTTTCCGGTTTGAACGACATGTTTCCTGGAAACGGTGTGCAACGGGGTTTGAGATGCGTTTTCTCTTGTTTGGTGGGTGTGTCAAACATATCAGCCCAATCAGCAGCAACATGTATGTAAACCACGCGGTATTAAAGAGACAGCTGGCACAATGTAATTAACATCAAAATAAATTCACAAGAGCAAGAATATGGTTTGCACATGTCTATTTACATTAAAGGCAAAATAACTGAAATAATAAGGGCACAAGTATAGATCTGGAACTTCTTTAAGTCTGTCTAAATATAATTTAGTAATTGCAATGTGTATCTTTCCTTAGAAAGGTGTGCTAAATACTGATTAATGTAACATAAAAATACTATACATATTTATATATTTTGCTATTGTATTATGGAGTGACACTTTCATAAACTTTTCTATACTGCTCTGATTATATAATGGTAAATATTACAATATCATAGCACAACAACAGTGATCAGCAATAATGATAAGCCGAATACTCACAATAAAAATAATAAGGTCATAGATCATAACACAGTCTCGGAGGTAAGAAGTGGATTATCCTTCACCTGAAATGTTTGTCTTTTCATCCTGAAATGCGAGGCAAATGTTGGATCACAATAATTAGGAACCACAGTTTCCACAAATCCCTTCATTCGATTGGGATGTTCTCTTTTATTCTGTTCTCTTTTATTTTGCAGTATTAAACACGTATTTATACCGATTTCATCAGGCTCTGAGAATTCTTCACAAAGAACACAAAGAATGGCCTTCTCAGCTGCCATAGCTGCAACTCTTGCGTCAACAGAACAGGGTGTTCAACTCACCACCGTTTCCGTTTAAAAAACGTTTTGCACCGTTTTGTCGGGGCTGAACGCAGCCCTGGTCTCCCAGCCTGGCCAGCTGAAGAAGTGGTTAAAACACCTCTAAAACCAGCCTGCAAAATAGCTCAAAAAGGTTTTTTTTTTCATTAGTTTTGTGCAAATACACTTTTGATTATTTATAACATTTTGTTAATGAAAATGTTCAGAGAGAGAGAAGAAGAAGAAGAAGAAGAAGAAGAAGAAGAAGAAATTCAACAAGACACTCATACGTTAATAGGGGACTTTTATTTTGACACGACGATGTGCTGTGCTCCCGTGACCACGCCTAGCAAACCGAGCCACAAGATCGTCTGATTGATTAGCGCTTTACCGTTCATTTAAAGCGCGTTTATTCTCGATGTTTCTAAGCACTCGCTTTTAAGAGGCTTTTAAGAGCTTGTCGCTGGGGAAAAAGGTAGATAAACGTATTCCTTTCTCAT